CCCCCCCCCCCCCCCCCCCCCCGAGATTTTCCATAAAGAATCAGCATATGTTTTTGACAGTGAACAGTCGATCACAATAGTCTATCACGACACTTTGCAACGGAGGAGCGTAATGACAGTTTTAATCGAAAGACACCGGCAAATATGAACGATGAAGGAGAAAAAATAAATGTCTGTTGGGTAAATAAGCCTTGAAAGCAATCTTCTAATATCAGAAATGTTGGGAAATTTTGTCAAGATAATGGCAATGTCGATCCATCATAGACGTAAATTGTAAAACATTTCAAATGGAGAATGCCTGAAATGAGGCCACAGGGCCATCTTTCCATCATCACGATGCACTGTTAATCGATTATTCACAAGGTAGCGGATGGAAATGCTGTAAATGTGACACATTTAGTCTATTTTTTTTTAGAAATACTTGAATTTGTTCTCTTGTTTGAAACACGCATGTATCTTATTTCACTTGAGGCGTTCGTCAGAGATTCCTCTGTACACCGTCCTAAACGCACCCCCCTTAAATGACTTAGATGTTAAAAGGACATTTAACAAAAAAACATTTATTTCGCGATTGTGCTGTTTTGTGCTGGTGACAACAAGGAGCTCGAGTATTTCATCAGAGACTGTCTACATGTCGGATCACTGTCTGCGAGGATCCAATTAAAGTTCATTATGCCCCCACTACGAAGTATGCTGACATTTTGGTTTGCAAGTATAGGTATATCCGTCGGCGTCTAGATATGCACTTCCTTCGTCCATTCTCTAAATGTAAATTTTAATCAAACACGCTTGGTCTGTAGGTTGTCAAGGGTTACAGTGCAATGCCATCCTGTCACAAAGGCTGAAATGATATCACACTATGCTTCTGGATATTTCTTCTCACTGTCTTGGATATATATGACTCATATTTACACTGTAATTTACATCAAGGCTTGATTACAATTACAGTTTCTTACTTGATTAAATATTCGGTGAATAGGACAAACTACTTTAGTTAATTTACATTGTTTTGAAGGGTAACGTTATCTTTACAATAAGGATTGTTACAAGGTGATTATAACACACCTATCCAGTATACCACATTAGGTTCAGTTTAGCCTGTAGGGGTTGTAGGTTGGTGGAGAGATATACCGATACGAACATTGACTCTTCTATCGAGGATGCCTTGGTTGAAGAGGGTATCTAGTTGTAAAAATGGGGAACCTGCCCAAGGGGCCAAAACGGGTCCGGTCTACTCTTATAATTTAAATACCATCTATAGGACAATTGTTTTTTTAAGAAAATTTTGTTCATTTTCACGAGGTAACGCCTTGGTTGGAACAATTATGATTTGTTTTACCCTGGCTGTCTAATAGTTGCTTTAACAAACACAACGAGACCAATGCAGAGACGTATCTACAATCACTCACTCATTCAGTCTCTTCCAAGGCTATGACCTATATTTCAGGAAATAGATCATAGACATCACATGTAACATGAAAGTTGACATACATATTACAGTACAACGTACATATATATTACTAAAAATATTAAACAGAATATCACAGGTTTTTGGAGCAGTCCAAGGAGCAGGTGATTAGGCATCCCCTTCCTACAAGCTCTCCGGACGCTCAAATACTAATGAACCTACATGAATTAAATTATCGTCAGTAATAAAACATTGTATTATCTTAAAATATTATATTATATATCAAACTAAAATTCATAACTGATTTTAAGATATAAGTAATATATTTATACAATTAATACAACACAAACATTGATCTATAAACCTGAGGATAGCCCATGAAAGCTCGAAAGCTTATTTCCAATGGGGTCCATGCTATATTGATCACGGGGAAAGATTTTGGCAGGAGGGAATGATTGACAACATATTATTAACTTTATTGTCAGTACCTATAGTAATTCCGTAATGACTATATAATCTAAAAAACGCATATATATATGTTCAGGTTTAAATAGTTAGCCCAACTTAAAATATGTAACGTGACTTTCTAAGTATTTCTAAATCACAAAAATAATACGGTACAGTGTCATCAGCACGTGGATTGCAGTGACACAAAGTTTGTTTTCTTAGTGTTGGGGATCCCCCTACCAGTAAAGTCTACTTGTTTTGTGTCACCGCAATCACATATAATTGTGTTATCAGCATGAATTTTGAAATTTAAAAGCGAGATGTTTCTTCACTGCTGCCTTAAATGCATATATGGATTTTATACCCTTGTTTTTGTCAGGCAGACTATTCCAGTCATGAATCCCGTTAAAATAAAAAGTAGAGGTATCTTTCCCTTTACATGGTGGAACAACAAAATTAAAAAGACATGATCGTGTGTTATGCTGATGAACACCTGACACTTTTATGAAGTTTAGGTTTAAGTAGGATGGACATTTTCCAAAAAAAAAAATGTGCACATGATTGAGTCCTAATTGTTTGACTCTATATTCTATATTTAACATATTGAGCTTTGACAGTTCAGTGGGAGTGATACTCGCTCTGGGTTCCAATTTGCTAATAAATCTGACAACTTTATTTTGTAAAAATCTGTAATTTGTTCTTCATTTTCTTGTTCAATCCTGAGTACCACGCGGAGCATGCATAATCTAGGTGACACTGTATACAGTAAGTGCAGAACATAAACTTTGTCTGGTTTTTGTAGTTAGACATTTACTATGTCTGTATATAAATTTCAGTCTAGAATTTACTTTCTTCACGATGTTTTCTACTATTTCTTCGCCAGACATACAACAATCTATATTGATTTGATGGTATGATTGTTTGCGACAATTTCAAAATGATCAATTTGATTTAATTTTCTTTTCGTTCCAAATAGCATGTTCTCTGTTTTACCTAAATGCGACGAAAGCTTATTATCAACTAACCACTCTGCACATGATTCAAGTACAGCACCAAGTTTCGTGGAAATTATTACTGGGCTTTTATGTGCGAAAAGGATAACACTGTCATCGGCATATAATAGTAATGTGCATTCTCCATCAATGCTGATTGTCATATCGTTGACATAGCATAAGAATTAAAGAGGGCCTACAATACCACCTTGTGGTACCCCACACGTAATAGTAGCTTGGTCCGAGTAGATATCGTTAATTTTGACTGTCTGATGTCTGTTATTCAGATATGATCTAAACCAATTTACAGATATCACACCCACCATTTTCAACTTGCCACACAGATGTCATTGTAAACCGTGTCAAAAGCTTTGCGTAGGTCTAGTAGCAACATGCCAGTGTATAGACCTTTACTAGTATTACATTTAATATGGTCTAGCAAATGTATAAGACAGGTATCAGTGGAGTATGCCTTCCTAAACCCTGATTGATATTCATAAAGCATGTATTTTTTTCTTCTTCTTTTTTTTTTTTTTCAGAAATGCTTCCATCTGTATGAGGCGCCGTTTTGGTATTTATTCACAAAATGTGATATCATTAAATCGATTTTATGATATCATTAATTATTTTGTGACATCATAAAATCTAATTTATGATATCATAAATTATTTTGTGATATCACTTATTATTTTATGATATCATAAAAACAATTTTATGATATCACAAATTCTTTTAATGATATCACAAATTCCATTTTATGATATCATTAAATCGGGCTATTTTATGATATCATAAGTTCGAATATATGATATCATTAATAGAATTTATGATATCATATATTCGAATTTATGATATCATTAATTTGATTTAATGATATCATTAAATTGACCGATTTAATGATATCGTTAATTCGAATTTGTGATATATATTTTTCTAAGGACTGCTCCCTCAAAAAGCGGATGTGAAATTAAAGAACGGTAATTCTGTTTGGATTGCCATTCGCGCCAATTTGACGAAGATGGATGGAATGGTGGACAATGAAATTGAAGATGAAGATGAGTTTAGGCCTAACGTTAGCGGTCTAAATCAGAGAACGGTAGATCTGTTCAGACCAAAACGGGATATGATCTATCGATATATTCGTTCTACATTATTCAGTTATTCTCGTCTCGGCAGCTCGGATCAGCACACCATATAAGATAGACAATGCAACAAAACCAAGCGTTTAAATATAATACATCTTTGTTGTCCATAGACTAAAACTGAGATGGGGAGAAGTCATTATTTCGTGCTAACAGTTTCTTATTTTATGATATCATGAATTCGAATTAATGATATCATTAAATCAGGCTATTTTATGATATCATAAATTCGAATTTGTGATATCATTAATTCCATTTTATGATATCATAAATTCATTAAATGATATCATAAAATCGATTTTATGATATCATTAAATACGTCTTTTTGATGATATTATAAAATCGAATTAATGATATCATAAAATCGATTAATGATATCACATTTTTTGAATAAATACCAAAACAGCGCCCCAAACATCTGCGAATATACATATTTGCAATATGGTGATTGCATATAATTAAAACATACGAGGCCTATATCTTTATGTAAATTCTGTCTGACTGTGCTCATTAAAGCCTAAATCTCAAGTTTGGGTTAAAGAAATTGACTTAATTAACCAAGTGATGAAGTAAACGCTTACTATAAAATCAAATTTTCGCGCCATTATATTTTGGGGCACGTGGTTAACAAGCTTCCGAGTGACATCGATATGATCATGTGAGATCGCCGAACCGATGTAAACAAAACTAATGTTGTATAATACCTGGATATTGTTTGTAAAAATGTCTGATGTAGATCGTGCAATTTCAGTATAACGAACTGACTAGTTGTAACAGAATAAGCACAACAAACTTACTCCATGCAGTTGTTACTGACTTGTTAGTCAAATAGTTTCTTTATTGTAAAACATTGAACAGTGTGTGAGTTGATCAAAAGGAAGCCATGCTCAGGCTTCTTCAAACTATTGTGTTTTTGGCCGTGTGTTGCTGCAATGGTTTGACAGGTGGCACCAAATACACACCAGACTGGAAATCTCTGGATTCCAGGCCCCTACCATCGTGGTACGACGAGTCCAAGATCGGGATCTTCATCCACTGGGGGGTATTTTCTGTACCAAGCTATGCAAACGAATGGTTCTGGTACGACTGGAAGACCGCCAAGAATCCAGCCGTTATCAATTTCATGAAGAACAACTACCCGCCAGACTTCACTTATGCTGATTTTGCACCAAAATTCACAGCCGAATTTTACAACGCAGATGAATGGGCAAACATCTTCAGTGCCTCTGGTGCTAAGTAAGTTAGAATTTTAAACTGTAGGAGCAAGATTACATGAAGATTAGATTCAAACAGGAAATCCCAGAACAAATACATGAGGGAAATTATTAGTCCACAGACCATAGAAAATCCAAAAAAGTTCTGGAGCTATATAAAGAGCAAGAAAATTGAATCATCCAACATCCCCCAATACCAAACCTATCAGATGGTATCACATACTCAGATGACCCTACACAAGCCCATATTCTCAACCAACAATTTCATTCTGTTTATACCCGCGAAAACACCTCGCTTATGCCAAATCTCCCTGACAGACAATTTGACTCGATGCCAAAAATCACAGTTACTGAAAAAGGGTGTTCTTAAATTATTAAAGCAAATTAATTACCATAAAGCCATGCACTGGATCAGACAGCATCCCGGCAAAGGGTCCTGAAGGACATTGCACTAGAAATTACCCCGGCCCTCACCAAACTTTTCCAAATTTTACTAGACTCCGGTGAAGTGCCGAAGGACTGTCGAGAAGCCCATATTGTACCTGTTTTTAAAAAAGGAGACAAACAGACTGCTTCCAACTACCGCCCAGTATCCCTCACAAGCATCAACTGCAAACTACTTGAACATATTATACACAGTAATGTCATGACCCACCTGGCCCAATTTGATATCCTGACTAAATACCAACACGGCTTTAGATCCAAACACTCCACTGAATCCCAATTGATACTTACCGTTGAATGATGACCTCTGTCGAAATTTAGAAAGTAAAACAGACATAGCCCTTTTAGATTTTTCTAAAGCGTTTGATAAAGTCCCCCATGAACGACTGCAGACCTGACCAAGCTAAACTCTTACGGCATAAGAAACAACACCCTCTCCTGGATAAGATCATTTTTACAATCTCGTGATCAGCTTGTTTTACTAAATGGTGTCCGAGACGGCCCCTGTACTATCTGGGGTGCCCCAGGGGACGATGATTGGTCCTCTGTTATTTCTAGTCTATATTAATGACATTGTAGACTCGGTAAAATGTAAGATCAAGCTATTTGCAGATGACTGTCTCCTCTACACAGACATCAAAACACCTGATGACTGCAAGCGCAAGGCTCTACAAACCGAACTTGACAATCTACAGGCATGGGAGGACAAATGGCAAATGAACTTCAATGCCAGTAAATGCTGCATTATAAATGTCACAAAAAACAAAGTGCCCATTAAGAACAACTATATACGTTGCACAATGAATCACTTGAAAACGTTCCTGCCAGTAAACATCTCGGAGTCACTATCACCTCTGACCTGAGTTGAGTAGCCACATCAACTCTACCGTAAATAAAGCCAATAAGACCCTAGGCTTTTTACGACGCAATATGTCATCGTGCACAAAAAAAGGTAAAGGAACAGACTTGCACCACCCTTGTAGGACCTACTATTGAGTATGCGTCGACTTGCTGGGACCCATACACTGCCGATAATACTATGCTGCTAGAGTCGGTCCAACGTCGAGCTACTCAATATGTACACAATGACTACAGGTCAAGAGATCCCGGCTGTGTGACAACAATGATCCAATCACTAAATTGGGAAATTTAGCACAATGAAGATATTCGTGCAAAATCCAGGCTAACCATGGTGTACAAGATCGTAAACGGGCACATCGCTATTCCATCAGCCGAGTACCTTACTCAAGGGGACAGGAGAACAAGGGGGGCTCACAAATTTCATCAGATCACAACCGCATCAAATCAATACAAATATTCATTTTTCCCCTGTACTATCATCACCTGGAACTCTATACCCACAGACATCGCCCACTCGCCTGATCTAAATTCATTTAAATCAGCAATTGCAGGCTTCAACCCTATTCTTCTATACTAACTTCATGTATACTTTTTGTAAATAGTTTTATCATATACGAAAATACCATAAAAAATAAGTTTTTAACTGCCACCTATAGGAACCTCTCACAGTGACAATTGCACTCCATCAAGGAGATCTGTCACTTAATGGAAGATGATGATTAATTTGAATTTGTTACATATGAATACATATAACTGCTAGGCCACACCACGGAATTAGATTCTTAGGTTATCTAAGTCCGTGGCCACACAGACATTTGGACCTACAGAGGTATTCTGTATGAAGCGTTATAAGACGCAGGTGTTTTGAATAACTACTAGGAAATAGTATTTCACAGAGGATTAAATAACAAGAGCGAATATAAATAATCCCAAATGATATATTCTGTATCAACAATGTACAAATTATTCACTCAACCCCATCATATCTTTTATATGATATGATATCATAGAAAAGGTACACATCTGGTTTCCTGCCACGTTAAAGACCCCCTGCACGCTGGTACCAATTGGGTTGATAAAATATAAGAATAACTCAAATACAAGTTGATAAAACTAATTATTTCATAATTGTTGTACATTAATATAAAAAATATTATTATTATATAAATGAGTAATATATATAAAGTGAATAAGATATAAATATATATATATATACCTTCTAATATATGCTTCTATCATTTTATGAAATACAAGATTGACAATTTATGCAGGTGATTGAGTGCTAGAATAAATGTTAAGTTTGTTAATTTGCCAGGCTTAACTTATACAAAAGTCTCTCATACCTGAAACAGCTAAAGTAGGAACTAATTTCTGTTACTGATCATTACAGATATGTTGTGCTGGTCACCAAACACCATGAAGGATTTACAAACTGGCCATCTAAAGTCTCGTGGAACTGGAACTCCATGGATGTTGGACCTAAACGAGATCTTGTTGGTAGGTTACAGCTACTAAGTAAAGCAATCTTGAGCAGGTTTAAGCTCACCTGATCTAGAGTAGAACTGAAGGACCTGTGAGCTTAAGTCATGGCATCCATCATCTGTCTGCAAATTGTTTTATTTATGGTGCTGATTTCAGTCCTGAACTGCAGAGCAATTTTGACTTTTGATGATGAGTATCTTTGGGTGTAGGGAACTGTCAGGATCAGTAATTGTATAAATTGAGTGTGTAGCTCCCATGGGGGCAGGGCAAAATAGGGGAAACAGAGGATAATCTTTTTTTAAACCCCTTCTTTATGGATGAGGAGATTTTAACCAAATTTCATTTAAAACATCCTTTGGTCAAGGAAACTCAACATTGTATGAATGGAGGGTGAAGACCCAGTACGGGACAGAGGGGCAGGGCTCAATGTGAGATATTGGTTTATAACTTGGAAGTGGTTGAGATTTCCACACTTATATCCATATATCATATACCAGCTCTTGATACTTGTGTAATATGTCATCTTTAGACAAATACATCCATGCTATGCTACCAGAATTTGATCTTTGGTCTGTTCACAACCCAGGGGCTGGGTGGGATCCAATAAGGAAATCAGGGCCACTTTCTTTTATTACGATCCAAAGAGTTGGACCAGAGTTGTTTGTTTATGAAAAAGGTTGGACTTGGTAATTTGATGTTGCTTTCAGATGAGCCTTGACAATGCCTTAAGCTTGCAATGCCTGCATATCCCTGAAAACGTTGCATTTAAAATAGACAAACTGGTTGTTCTGCATAAAGGAACAGGCCCCTCGTCATAACTGCAAAAAAGTTTAGATCCCCACCCTAGCCTATAATCATACAAACAAGTGCTGGACATAAGATATATATGGACCGATTCACAATAGCCACCAGAACTAAACCACAGGGTTCTGTTCCCACCACAGAACCAGGGCAATAGGAATTTTGCATCTTAACATGGAAATAGTCGAGATCCCCAACCTAAAATTATAACCATAAATACCCTTGCTCAATAACATCATAAGACCAGTATATACATTCCACAAGTTATATCAAAGTTTCAAACAGATGAATCTTACTGAAGACATTCCACAATTTACCTTGGGGTCAATCCCCACCCCAGGGATGAGGCCTCCTAAGTAAATTGGGTCATAATTTGTATTCACTTGAGATCCGCAACCTGTTACCACATATATCATTACAAATTTGCCACATTTCTTTGTAGATATTTATTTAAACCTTATGATGGAAGACATCAAAAGTTACACTTTATCACAATTAATTTGTTTTGCATAATAATGCTAACATGATCAGTACACAGCACTTAAAATAAAACTTCTGTTATTTCAATTTCAATGTCCATATTTATAATATGGTTTGGCCTTGGTGGTCAGTGAACTATCAGCCTCAGATTAAAGAAAGGCATGCACTTCTTTCTCTAAGAATGCCATTCAAGCAATAGTGAGAAATGTTCAAATGGGAAGAGGGGAATTAACAATTTAGTATGCAGGGAAATATTTTTAATTTTCTTGTGAGTGTCAGTAATACAGTAAAAAGCTTGTCCTGCAGTTGAAATGTTTAAAATAGATTGCATGTACCATTAAATTACTGAATAATGAGGCATTCATAATTATAATGTATACTCTGTAAGACTTTCAGGATTGGGATTTATCATTATTGCAAAGCAAAAATTATTTGATATCATCTATGAAGGAAAATCCTTTATTTGGAATATTTTTCGAGTAGACTGTAGAAAGATATATTTTGTTTATGTTGTACAACTTCAGAATTATGACTTCTGTCCCTCTTTCTAAGGTGAACTAGCCAAAGCTGTAAAGAAGAAGCAAGGCATGCACTTTGGGACTTACCATTCCCTGTTTGAGTTCTATCACCCCCTGTACCTCCAGGACAAGGCAAATGGATATAGGACACAGGACTTTGTCAGGGTAGGCATTGCCAAGGAGTTTAATATGTCAAAGGAAGATAAAAAATAATGCTTTTTTAGGTGAATTTAAGCATTGTTTATCTTTGTTGTGTGTCCAGAAATCTTGTACTTTGACCTATGGAAACCAGTGTGCTTTGGAAGGGTGTCGGCCACGGTGTAGAATGGCTTACCATCTGCTACCAGGAAGTAAAAAATGTGGATAAATTAAAGAAGGATATAAAGACCCACCTTTTTGTGTCTGCATTCTAGGCTCTTTTACACAAACGTCATGTACATGCCAGCTGATATATATTGATACAGGAGCGGATCGCTCTGAAAATTTGACAACCTAAACTTGTCCACACTGTTGGAATTACTTTTTTGCCCCATATATATTTATATATGCATATGGCGATAAATGTCTTTTTACCTGATGTAAAATGCTGATTTGGATGCCTTTATTTATAAATGTCACAGCAGGTAGGAATACTATTATTCATGTGATGTAAAGCGCCTAAGATTAATTTGCAAATTACATAGGGCACTATATACAAAGGTTGTGTATTATATTATTTATTATTATTTCAATGTCATCTACATGTGACTTACTGCACTAAAAATATGTATGTTTGTTGGAGGCAATATATTGTACATAAAAGATGTCCAAGTTTTATTGAGATATTAAAACTATGATGTACATTAATATGTTGAAGGTATGAAAAAAATTGTTTCAGGAGATTTGCTTTTTGAGAAATCTAAGAACATATACATTGAGTTAAAGGCTAGAGTGGAACTGTAGATTTTTTGAGTTGTCATGAGTTAGAATTCCAACTTTGTACAATAAGATGATCAACAATTATTGCATTGAATTTCCAGGACAAGACCATGCCAGAGCTGTATGAACTGGTCAACAACTACGAACCCGAGGTGATCTGGTCGGATGGGGACTGGGAGGCTCCAGATACCTACTGGAATTCCACAGAATTCCTCACCTGGCTCTACAATGAAAGGTGATACAAATTTGCAGTCATACATATTGCAGACAATAGTAAATTTGATAAATAAAATATATTTTTGGTACATTCATTTTAACAACACTATATATGTACATATAGTTTGAAACCTATTTTGTACACCCTTTATCATATTCCTGTATACATTTCTGTTGTATAGCCCAGTGAAGGACACAGTTTTAGTAAATGACCGATGGGGCAGTAATACCAGGTGTGTCCATGGTGGGTTCTGGAACTGTAACGACAAGTACAATCCAGGTAATATTTTCATAATTTCAATTTCACTGAAAAAAAATGTTTTATTTATTAATATCTGATGACATTTCACTTTTGAATCACAAAGTGTTCATGTATAATTAATATCCCATAAACAATAGCATTAACCTAAAGATTATTTCTGGTTAAAATGTCATCATACAGAAAAACACATGTAGTCTCAATTTTAAGTAAGTTATGACGTTATGTTGTTAAATCATCCTAGCAAATCCAAACTGTTGTCACTTTCATTAGATAGACAGATCTACGTCTTCAACAATTGGTCCATATATTGGAAAAATAACATGGGTAGGATTTCTGTATCAACATATTTTTATATTGTAGACAGACATTATTATATTCATCCTTTACTTCCTTAATCTTGAATGACCCCACAAAAATTCACTGCATGACAAGATTCAACTTTATCTATTCTCACTGTATGAACAAGGCATTTATATATCATTTGAAAGAAGACAATATGGAAATCATGGTACCAAAAAACCTTCTGAGTACCTGTCCTTTTTTGTGAAAAAAAATACTGTTAAGATGACTTTTGTTTTTAGAATTTAATGAGAAATATAGTGTCATGATGTGCAGCTTGATAACGCAGGCATATGCCAAATTTAAATTGAAACAGACAATGGTATTCAAATTTTTGTTTTACCTCAGGAGTCCTTCAGAAACACAAGTGGGAGAATGCAATGACACTAGACAAAAGATCTTGGGGATATCGGCGGACAGCTCATCTCAGTGATATCCTGACCATGGATGAACTGGTGGAGACCATTGCTTCAACTGTCAGGTAAACAGCGTTAAAATGTCACTGTACAATGGACTGTCGGGTAAACAGAGTTAAAGTGTCACTGTACATCGTACTGTCAGGTAAACCGTGGTAAAGTGTCACTGTTCAATGGACTGTCACGTAAACAGAGTTAAAGTGTCACTGTACATTGAACTGTCAGGTAAACCATGGTAAAGTGTCACTGTTCAATGGACTGTCACGTAAACAGAGTTAAAGTGTCACTGTACATCGTACTGTCAGGTAAACCGTGGTAAAGTATCACTGTACATCGTACTGTCAGGTAAACGGTGGTAAAGTGTCGCTGTTCAATGGACTGTCACGTAAACAGAGTTAAAGTGTCACTGTACAATGTACTGTCAGGTAAACCGTGGTAAAGTGTCACTGTACATCGTACTGTCGGGTAAACCGTGGTAAAGTGTCACTGTACATCGCACTGTCAGGTAAACCTTGGTAAAGTGTCACTGTACATCGTACTGTCAGGTAAACCTTGGTAAAGTGTCACTGTACAGTGTACTGTCAAGTAAACCGTGGTAAAGTGTCACTGTACAATGTACTGTCAAGTAAACCGTGGTAAAGTGTCACTGTACAGTGTACTGTCAGGTAAACCGTGGTAAAGTGTCACTGTACATCATACTGTCAGGTAAACCGTGGTAAAGTGTCGCTGTACAGTGTACTGTCTGGTAAACCGTGGTAATTTATAAAGTGTCACTGTACAATGTACTGTCAGGTAAACCATGGTTAAGTGTCACTGTACATCGTACTGTCAGGTAAACCATGGTAAAGTGTCACTGTACATCGTACTGTCAAGTAAACCGAGGTAAAGTGTCACTGTACATCATACTGTCGGTTAAACCGTGGTAAAGTGTCACTGTACATCGTACTGTCAGGGTAACCGTGGTAAAGTGTCACTGTACATCGTACTGTCAAGTAAACCGTGGTAAAGTGTCACTGTACATCATACTGTCGGGTAAACCGTGGTAAAGTGTCACTGTACATCATACTGTCAGGTAAACCATGGTTAAGTGTCACTGTATATCGTACTGTCAGGTAAACCGTGGTAAAGTGTCACTGTACATCGTACTGTCAGGTTAACCGTGGTAAAGTGTCACTGTACAGTGTACTGTCAGGTAAACCGTGGTAAAGTGTCACTATACATCATACTGTCAGGTAAACCGTGGTAAAGTGTCACTGTAAATCAAACTGTCAGGTAAACCGTGGTAAAGTGTCACTGTACATCATACTGTCAGGTAAACCGTGGTAAAGTGTCACTGTGCATCGTACTGTCAGGTAAACCATAGTAAGGTCTCACTGTACATCATACTGTCAGGTAAACCGTGGTAAAGTGTCGCTGTACATCATACTGTCAGGTAAACCGTGGTAAAGTGTCACTGTGCATCGTACTGTCAGGTAAACCATAGTAAAGTGTCACTGTACATCATACTGTCAGGTAAACCGTGGTAAAGTGTCACTGTACATCGTACTGTCAGGTAAACTGTGGTAAAGTGTCACTGTACAATGTACTTTCAGGTAAACCGTGGTAAAGTGTCACTGTGCATCGTACTGTCAGGTAAACCGTGGTAAAGTGTCACTGTACATCATACTGTCAGGTAAACCGTGGTAAAGTGTCACTGTACATCGTACTGTCTGGTTAACCGTGGTAAAGTGTCACTGTACATCGTACTGTCTGGTTAACCGTGGTAAAGTGTCACTGTACATCGTACTGTCTGGTTAACCGTGGTAAAGTGTCACTGTACATCACACTGTCAGGTTAACCGAGGTAAAGTGTCACTGTACAATGTACTGTCAGGTTAACTGAGGTAAAGTGTCACTGTACAATGTACTGTCAGGTAAACTGTTGTAAAGTGTACATGTCACTGTACAATGAACACAGTTTGGTAATAGCATGAGATCAAATTTAGCAAATTAACTTGTTTAGATGAAACATTTAAGCCAAGAAAATAATGAGAAGTTTTGTAGAAAATCTCCATCAAATAGATAAACTCATCTATAGCTAGCTGACAACACATTGAAGAACTGTGGAAACTGACTGTGGGGCTTTAAGCTTGACCAAAGAAACATCTAATCCCTGATCTCAAAAGATTATTTTACAATCGATTTCCTCTCAAGAAATGATGAACAATGATAGAAAACTTATAATTGTCTGAAAATGATCGACCTGCATATGTGTAAATATGTAAAGGTTTAGCTATGATTTACAATATTGCGTGTTGATAGCAAACATTTAATATCACAAGGTTATCTATCAGGGTTTTGGACATAGGTTTGGTAATGTTAATTTGAGATCATGATTTGCCTGTATTTCAATGTTGTGTAACTGTCTTAAGCCAAAATCGCTAAATGAAAGTGTTTTTTTTTGTAATTGTCATTAGCAGAAATCGCTATTTAAGGAATGATTTTTATTTTTTCAACATTTATGAGGTCATAACAACAATGGGTTTATGGACATATTGAATGAATCGCGTTAGCGATTCATGTAAAATATGGCCAAAAACCCATTGTTGTTATCACCTCATAAATGTTGAAAACATAAATATCATTCCTTATATTTACATTGACTAATCCTTTCAGTGGATCGATATAACAACGAATAAAACAAATAAACAGGGTTTGTTCCTGCTTATGCACGGGTGCACCGAAGTGGCGAGAACAGTGTTTTTTCGCGGGGAAATGTGACACTATCGTGAGAGATCTTAGCAACCGTCAACAACAATAACACAACAAAATGTAGTTCCATATTCAATGTTTATTTGTAGCACAGGACACGTGAATACGTGAATATTTCACCAAGCACAGTTCAATAATATTTTTAGATGTAAGAATTAAGCATCTAGGTCGGTCGTTCCGAGTGAGTGATTTTTGTAGTGTATTACTACGCAGTGTGATCAGGTTACTATCAGTTCCCACGTGCTTAGATTCTATGAACACCTGTGTTATGCATTTATGAATGTAATTTTTGTTAATGGGTCTAAGCATACAGAATGTAAATATATGAAAATAAATGTAATTTTATAGTTGTGGTGGAAATGTCCTGGTCAACATTGGTCCAACACATGACGGGCGTGTTGTCCCTATCTTTGAGGAACGACTACGACAGATGGGACAGTGGCTGGGCGTTAATGGCGAGGCTATCTACTCCACCCTACCATGGACACACCAGAATGACACCATTACAGCTGGCGTCTGGTAGGGAAAATACTAATATAACAAACAAACAAACAAAATTGTTGTAAGCACTCTATGCTTTCCAAAGAAATGTCACTGAGGAGCATTCAATTAAAGTAAAACTAACATAGCTGTTATCCTTCCCTCATTAGGAGTGAGACTCCCTCATTTTACCAAAATTCACCAATTTCCCTCGAAACTCATTTAAGTCCAAACTCATATAAACTCTAAATCTACATCGTGTGGTCAAATGATCTCCTTGTTACTGCAGGGTGAGTGTAATTATCATCATAGTTGTGTCTGAATCCAATGAATGCTTTTTGGATTTATTTTGAAACGTAAAAAGGGAAAGATAATCAGCAAAGCAGTTTCAGTCATGTTCCACACACTTTCTCCCTCATTGGAAATGTGGAGTGAGAGAGATCTCCCTCATTGGAGGTTTCAGAGGTTGACACTTATGAACCAATCCAATGATTACTAAGAAGGTACTCAAACCTGTCTTTTATGATCACTAAGGGGAATCATAGTCTAGTCATTCTGCGCTTTGATTTTTAGCTTATCATCATCAAATGGTGGGCTGGTCAGATCACCTTTAATATATCCTAAAAAAAAAATTGATCTCACTCTTTCACTTTTGGGCAACATACCCTGTCTCCTGCACACACACACGCAAGCAAGCATTCACTACACACATGGAGGCATGTCCTTAAATGACCATAGCTATTAATAGGAAATTAAACAAAATTAAACCAAACCAAACCAATCTTTCACTTTTGGGCTTGATTGCAAGAACAAGAAGGCTGTCAGGTGGCCATCTTGTGTTTAATGTTTGTTGTCGCGATTCCTCAGAAACTAGTTAAAAGACATTTTCTCGTACTTAAGTAAGTTTCTATTGGTTCAGAATTATGCAGGTTGGTCTTTGGGAGTGATCACAGAAACAAGATATGTTGTAAGGTGGCCATCTTGCATTTCGACAGTTAAAGTTTAATACCACTATTTCTCAGGAACTTACGAAAGAGGCCATTACGAAACGTTGTCATTCATTACTATGGTAAGATTTTAGATAAGAAGAGTGGCCATGTTGAGCAGGTGGTTGCTATGCTCAGTGTCATGTAGTAAAGAAATGTTTCGGAATAGTTGCTAGATACGCTTTTGAAAATGGTTGTTTTAAACAAGTGGTTGCTTAAGACAGGTGGTCAGTAAACAGCAGGTTAAACTTGTTTAATTGTAAAATGGAGACCCTTAAACACAACGCTCAGCAGAGCACCATGGTTATAAAATGGAGACCCTTAAACACAACGCTCAGCAGAGCACCATGGTTATAAAATGTCTTATATTAATACATAGTGGGTAGAGGGGTGATGCAGTGGATAACACACTCACCTTTCACCGAGGCGGCCAGGGTTCGATTCCCTGATCAGAAGTGAAAAGGTATGGGGTCATTTGCCTGGCCATGTGGGTTTTATCAGGGTACTCCAGTTTCCTTTCCCATGAAGACCCCTGTGTGCTAACTCCTGGGCCAACAAGAGTGATTGATATAAGTTGGAACAACTTGTATTGTTGTCGAGTTTATAATACTATATAACATATAGATGCATTTTTAGCATCTATTCAAATCACCCTGCGTCCGTGGTCCGTCCTTAAAGGGGCATCACGGTGAAGTAACTTTTTTTTTGTCTTTTTTTTCAAATACAACATAAACATATCAAGCGAGAGTCCTTATGGAAAATAACAATGAGATTTGGCTAAAATAGATTCATAAAAATGATTAAATCTAAGATAATGATCTGTATTTCTACCCTTCTGACCAACGTTTTGTTCAGGGATTTCCCTCTACTAGCGCATGCGCATAGCACACCATTTCTTTGTAAACAAAATGACTGGCCGAGTGAAGTAAGCGAAAGAAAAGTGTAGTACCGTGTCAGCTACGAAGCGAAAAGTTGCCAAATGGTCAAAAGATAGCGCAAGGAGTACGTTACGGATACGTTATTGCAGGTGGGAAGTATTCAAAGGAGAAAATAACTGCCCTAGCAGTTAGTACGATGCATGTATTCTTCCGGATAGCCGGTTAAGCTGAAATGGAATCTACAGAAATGCTAGCTCTGTTTATGTTATGAATATAAATATCAAAAACTATTAACCTCGCTAGTATCTTTGTTTGAATTTGAACACAGATGAACTTAGTGTAATATGTTAATGGGCATGTATCGGAGAGAGTTTACTTTGTGTTTCTATACTTATACAGTGGTTTATGCAAAAGGAAGTGATAAGTGACTGGTTAGTTTGATTTTGACATGAGGCCCTCCAAGGGATAACTGTTGTGATGGCCACAGCGTATTCTGTTCTCTCCTCTGTCGGTACTCGGGGTCAAATGAGATATGTGCGCTATTAGATTTACATAATTTATAATATTACCAGGTTCAGTTAAATGGTATGATTTAATTGTATTACTGAATTAAACGATTTTGTTTGTTTTTACCTGCAAAATTCAAATTAGTACTAATATGAATACCAGGTCTCCTCTGGCGTGACGACACAATATATAAAAAAAATCTCCCGTCGTCAGAAAGCTACGTTATCGCAGCTAGATTAAAAATGTCAAAATGACGGTTCATGATGAATAACTGAGGAAGGAGAACCTACTTCTAGTAAATAGGATCGCATAATTGTTTTTTTTATTAAATCGTAATTTTTCAACAGTTCATGTTTTCATATGATGTTGACTTAGAATGTATGATCATGAAACAACCTTTTCTCTATAAAGAATTAATTTTCGACTTCAGATAGAATCGGAATACGTATTGAAAACAGGGGAAAAAATATTTTATTACATTGTAAAAATCGCGCGTGCTGCCGATAACTACGGCTTCTGTTTCTGACAAAAGGAACTGATTTAAGAAAAGTTGTCTCAACATAAAAAAAGGTCCATTTACAAGTATGCTTTAATCTCTGTAAAGTTTTGAAAAAATATAATTATCAAGTATCTCAACCATTCCATATCTGACACATATTCTACATGTACACGTAGTGGTTTTGCCATACAGTTTATTGTGTGTGATGGCTAATATGACTTACTAAGTGTTAGCGTATGGAGACAGTGAAAGTGGGAAAGAGAGTCGAGTATACATAAATTTATATTGGCTTTTTTGGCCAAAGACAATGAGTTGTACAATGTAATAAAAAAAATCACAAACGTTTCTCTTTTTTATGCGCGTGTAGTCATTGCATATATGGACTTTATGAAAACTTTTGAAAATGGATATTCGTCTCATGAATATTCCTTTTTACAGAAAGGTTTGTCCCATGGTTGAGGGAAGGTGTTTAGCCCCGTACCAACTGTACCAGTCACATTCTGGTACTAAATTCAATATATATTTATATATATCTACTTTATGTTTATGCCTATTATCATTGTTGACATTTAATTGTAAATGTATGACAGGAGAAGGCTATGATAAATTGTAAAAACTTGTGCCCCATCCCTTGTTCAATTTTATTGGCAACAAATATGTTTAAAGCTAAATAAATTTAAATTCTGAATATTGGCAAGTGGGGCAATTAACTTCTGATGATGAATAATTACTGTTCAATAAGTTTGAATATTACTTGGTTTTATAGTGCGGTAAAAAGTTGCAGTTGCCTGACGGCCCCTCTCTGGGGACCCCTTTGGAAAACGTTTCATCTCGCTCAGACTATCTCGCTAGGAAGTACCAGACGGATCTTTCTTAAATTTTATATGTAGGTTCCCCTTGGTCCCTAGCTGTGCAGGGCAACTTTTGAGACTGATCGGATAGACAACATGGCCGATAGGCAGCCATTTTGAATTTTGATAGTGAAGGTTTGTTTCCGCTATTTCTCAGGAAGTACCAGAGGGATCTTGCTCAAATTTTATATGTATGTTCCCCTTGTTCCCTTGTTGTGCAGCAGTGCCTGAAATGGATGGTCGCCTCCTGCATGCCAATGGCGATTAAAATCTTGCTTGTGCGATCAAAAGTGAGGTCATCAATGGCCCAACAAAAATAGTTTGGGCGACTGTTGAAAAATTAATGAATAAAAGAAATTATAGTCCCTTCCATACTAACGGGAGGGGGGGGGGGGCATTACATTTTTCAGTTGTCATTACTTCGATTTGAATCGAACTGTCCGTGATTTAGGAAATGTGATGATTAAATCGAACTGTCCGTGATTTAGAAAATGTGATGATTTTTTTTCAGATTTTCTATATAAATACTGCCAGGGTGTCTTCTTTGAGGTGCAAGTTTTGTGTATTTCTTTGGGAAATACTAAAGACCTGAATAGAGTGGATCATGTCAGGTTTTAACTAGAGTTGAAGAGTTAAAAATATAATGTTTTATTTTGTTTTACATATCACAAACATTGTCATGTTATATGCAATGATCGATTCTATTTCTTTCACATTAAGTACTGTACTAGTAAATATGTGAAATGACAAACTCACTTTGAAGGTTGGCGGCTTTCATACACATCAGTATTAAGTTTAGATCAAAAGTTACCTCAAGGTGCATTTACTGTTAACATGACTTGATCAAACAGATTAGAGGAAAGAAGAGAAAAGATCGAACTGACAAAGAACTAATGAAGATGGTACAATGATGGGCGCCAAGATCCCTCTGGGATCTCTTGTTTCTGATGTTCTCTGTAATAGCCCAAGGTGAAATCCAGGGTATATGGACATTATGAAACTGTTTACCTTTTCTATTTTCCATTTTTTTTTATGGATACACAGCTTTATCTGAATATGTGATATCCCAAAGTTGTATTAAAATACCAAAATTGGCACCTGATACACATTGATAATTGATTATGATATGTTATTTTCATTTTGTCCACCAGGTACACCTCTAAGAAAACAGCCAATGGGACAGAGGTGTATGCTATAGTACTGGACTGGCCAAGAAATAACAAGCTGACCCTGGGCTCACCTGACGCGACCTCGGATACGGTTGTGTATCTGCTAGGGTACTCAGGCAAACTGAGTTGGGTACATGGGGCCCAGTCTGGGGTCATAATACAAATTCCTGAAATTCCTTACAACAAAATGCCATGTCAGTGGGCTTGGGTCTTCAAATTTTCAAATCTCAAATAAGACTGGATTGTTTTGATGTAATCTGCACTTAAACATTTAAACTTGAACCATACCATAAGGGTAAAAAAAGAAAAAAAAAAAAAAAAACCTGTTGAAAAACATTATTTACATATTCCATATCTTTTTTTATCCCATTTATGCTATGATTATTCTATGTGTAAGTAGAGTCTTTTTAAAATTCAACAATCAAAATGTATTGGAATCACATACACATCCATGATGATAATTAAATGTTTAAAGTAGAAGCATTTATAGTGTACATCATCATAACTGGATAAAAGCCTAGGCTTTTAGATTGAAAAACATTGCATATGTCTGTGTTATAGCCTTAAAGCTTGGTCATTTGGATAAATGTCTAAGTTATAACTATCAAGGTTACACTTCTTCAATTATGTCTGGTCAACATTCCAGTGTCCTCATAAAAATATGTGTGGGAGTAAAATAGATATTGACACTATTCCAGTATGCATTGTATGTGTGTGGGAGTAAAGTAGAGATCATGTTAACATTCCAGTATCCTCTTACAAAAATATCGGTGTAGAAGCTCAGTAGATCTTGACAACATTTTAGCTGTGTACTGTATGTTTCCATTCAATACACATGTAGGTGTAATGTACTCTGTAGTGTAGGTTTATTCTTACATTGTCAATTAGTACAGTAATTCATTTACAATTTGCGAGATATATATTTCAAAAAATTAATTTACAAAGAGGATCAGTCACAAATTATTTTTTTATTATGAAAATGTACTGGAACACCAATTAAAAGTGTCAACATGCTTTTTAAAAATGATAGGTTTGTTATTGACACCATAGGAAATGTGTAATGCAATGAATGCATCTGAAAGTAGAGGGTGAAGATTATACTTTTTACTTTTTTGTTTTTCTTGCATTGAAAAGTTATATTTTATATAAAAAAAATATGTGTACAGTTGGGGATTTTACATGTATAATATCAGGACTGTGTTGGACGGCAGAGGGTGAAGATTATATCTTTGGTACTTTTTGTACTTTTTGCAGTGAAAATTAATACTTTACACCAAAACATATTTACTTTTTCTTATGTTTTATTTTTAAACCTTCTTCACAGTTTTTTTTTACTTTGAGCATCATAAGGTCCAGGACTTATATCCTTGGATATCAGCAATCTCATAATGTGATATAAAATCATAGGGGTATAGTGTATATATCTTGTTTTTGGTATACATATATTCCTGTGCAAATATTGATCTGGAATAAAAGATAATATATATAGTACATATAGTTTGATAGATCTGCCATAATCAGTTCTGTAGTAATCGTCCTTTGAAATAGCTGTAGGTGGCTAGCTTACTTATTTCAACCTCTACAGAGATGTCTCAATGGCGTCTTTAAGACATAGGACCTCTTTGCATTGAGTTCTATCCAAGGGACTATTCTGGGACACTGTTGAGTAGTAAATAAATCTCTTTAACAGAGAATTGAACCCAATCTCCTTGCAGGGAACCTTGACCACTGGACCAATCCACCAATTATATATACTAACTTGTACTTTAAGAAATCAATTACTTACACAATGCTATTTAATGGTGTTCTGTACCTGTACATAAATTGAACATTTAACATACACTTCACGATATCTTTTAATTTTCTTTGCAATAATATGTCCCATGTCAGAGTTATCTCCTGTAGTATAATTTTTTTAATTTAATTAGAATAGAGATAGAGTTAACGTTACAAAAATGGTTTTAGTACAGCCATCATATAAATAAAAATTAGATTGTTTCCTTGTGAATACATAGAATGATGCATTATGGGATGTTCAAAATCAGATCTCGGATCATCTGTTGTCAGGATATTAACAATTATTTTTAGTTGAAATTCCTTCAGAAGAATGTTGATTTTGAACAACAAAGATGTATTTGGTATCTTACAATATGTGTAAAAATCTTTAAAAAACTGAATATCTTCAAAACAAGCATATTTTACTTGGCATAGGTTAAAACATCTTCATTATCGTCAGTTTAAGTTTTATGCAAAAATAAGCATTTTTGAGGAAACTAAAATTGATTTTGGTACAAGTAAGTTAAATGTGAACTTTCACTCAGAAATCCTTGAAATTAACATGCATAATTACAGTTACAATATAATCCTTTTGTAAACAGAAGTGATATCTATATGTGTCATTTATATACAATTTATGTAAATATAGTTGTATCTTATGTATCAGTTGGAAAATGTTCAAATGTTATGTAGTGTGTTGTCATATGACTGATGTAAGTCCACCCTCAATGATTTATGTGTGAAGATTGTTTTATGTGTTCAAATCATACATTACCTAAGTAATAAGAATTTATGAACATTAAAGCTAAACATTTTATACGAAATGACCTTGAACTATCAAAAAATGCTTTATATTTCTTTTGATAAAAGAATTCTGTCAGCACATGTTTATTCCAAAACCATTTTGAGGACGGAAAAGACATAGCTACCGGTAACTCATGTTTTGGTGATATTAAGATGTCTTCAAAAGAAAAATAATGTTATTTGTGTCTAAATTGAAGCTTTCTAGGACAATGAAATTGAACTTGATTCATTATATAGGAGTCCTCCCTTATTAAATACAGTATGTGTGGGAAAAAACATTTTATTCTTCAGTCATTGAAATAGTACATGAACATGTAGAAGGAGCGTGCAAGGTAAAATAATACATGGCTACTTTAGGAACTATACATTGTAAGATATCATATTTAATGCATGAAACCTCAGGCATTATTATCTTAAGCTAAGGCAAATGTGTCTTATATTTCAGCTAAAATAATTCTTGAATAAAAAATTGTTATAAAATCATTCGGGGGGCGCACAGGAATTATACCATTGATAATTTAGTGATATTCAATTTAGATGCCTTTATTAGTCATACTTTGTGGAGATTTTGATTTCTATTTTAATTATAATATAGACGATATATGTGCCTTTAATATATTTCAGGTAAAATAAATCAATTCTTTATCTTTAATCAAGAGTTGTTATAAAATCATTCGGAGGGCGCACAGGAAATACATCATTGATAATTAAGTGATATTCAATTTAGATGTCTTTATTAATAATACTTGGTGGAGATTTCGATTTCTATTTTGGTAATATTATAGACGATAACCTTGTAGAGGGCACTGGCCACTATATTAATATTTTATGGTGTTATAAAGATACTGTGCAATATGAATTCATATCTGTGTCATGATTTTAGATATCATGTGGTGATTTATTTTTAAAAGATATCAATATGGCGTGGTTTACTGCTTATTATGAATAAATATGCACAAAAAAATCTACTTTAAGTTTGTTGATTTGTTGAGATTAAGGAAAAAGTGACCAGGCACAAAAACATTTGTATATTCCCCATGTACGACAAAACGACACAAAACGGTTCTTCATTGTATTCAGGAATATCAAAACGTAAAAGAACTTGAGCTTCAAGCACCGTGATATTTCATTACTGTTTATATTTCCAGATACAATAGTGCTATAAACTTTCCTCAAATAAATTACTTTGACCTACTTTAAAGGTCACAGGGGTCAAATATGGAAAAAAAGCTTTGAACAACTTGTTCTTAATAACCAGGAGGCACAGAGTAATAATACTTTACCAATAGGTACCTGGCATGAAGCGCTATACAAATTCCTCAAATAATTGACCTTGACCTATTTTCAAGGTCACAAGGGTCAAATATGTAAAAATCTTTAAACAACTTCTTTTGCAATACAGGGGTGTCCTGGGTGATGATATTTGACCAGTAGCATGCTGTGATAGAGTAATATAAAGTTTCATTTAGTCCGGAACATTTTTAAGCCAAGGAAACTCGATATATACTTTAATTGAGAATATTTCCCATGATGACTCAAAAATCCAAGTGAGCATTACAGGCCCCCTGGGCCTCTTGTTTCATATATTATTATCATTTATGAACAGATACAATACAAACATATATATATCTTAAGCTAAAGCTCAAGGTTCGATCAGTTTCAGATTGTTGGTGTTACAGTTCCCGCAGCTACTTATTTCCAATATATCTTATGTATGTTTCTTTATATCTGATAAAAGATATGACGACCACGATGTTTGTAGATTGAAGTACATAGGGTAGAATTCCACTTTGTATAGTTGATTCAAAGCACGGAAAAACATAGTCACTTGACAAGCTGTATATATAAATTAATGAAGTTTAAAAGAAATCGTGCTGTAGTAAAGGATTTGACAAATATCATACATAATTTCTTAAATAGCCTGAGTATAGGCCAGTCTTATAACAAGAATACGTAATTATTAAAGATTAACGTGTTCGTTGCCTGTAAATAAATCTAACCAATCAAAAAGAGATCATAATCATAATAGGACGTTTGACTCCCTGCACCAACTTGAAATCTTCATTTGTTCCATTAAGTTTCAATAGTCCTGTACTTTTCCCTAATAGATTGGACACTGCTCTAGTCATGTTAACAGTAATTGTATCATGTCATAACTTAATGTGATGGAAGCGTTTTCTGCTGTGTTATCATTGTCTTCGTCTAGTGAGATCGTCTTTTGAAGAAATTGGGAAAAAGCTCAGGAAACATGAAGAATTTTTAGGAACAGGAAGATTTGTTCCTTACTTACCAGGTAAGTAAAATAGCCATTATCAAATTTAAGTGGTAAAATTCAAGATGTTTGCCTGATTATCATTTTTGCCAATCATGGCGACAATGAAACATGAACAGTTATAATTAAAAATCAATATTGGCTTAGATTGACTATTCAAAAAATATCTCCCAAGTGCTGAGAAATCGCAACGACAAATTTTAACTATCACAATCCAATATTGCGGCTTGTAGCCATCATGCTCTTACGAACAGCTCCAACATTGAATATGCACAACGAAGGATTTAGAGGAACAAACTTGTGATATTTGAGAAATCACTCTCCACTACTTTCTGGAAAATAGAATTACAAAAACAATTGACAAATTCCGGAAAGTCCCATTGATAGTCATCTGCAATTCCAAAACATAAATTTCTCAGCTAAGGACCAAGAGAAATCGAATTGTGAACCTATAATGATCCTTCCAGTACGTACCTTCTGGGGAAATATCGGTAACAAATTTGTAACTGTCAAAATCAAAGAGGGCCCCTCTGCAAACTATAACGCTTCGATCAGTCCTTATGAGAAACATCCATAACTAACGACCAAGGGAAACCTGCATATGTCTTGACATGGATCCATCCCGAGTGTCATCTTGAGAAAAGTTATAACAGGAACTGTTTAAGGAAGGACCGCGGCAAAAAGACGCTTTGAACAGCCCACTAGTCAAAAGATAGTGGGTCATGATCACGTATATGCTGCAACAGGGACCTGAAAATTTATTACAGCTATATTTTGACCTAAACTGAGGTGTTCAGAGTATTTTTTACATGTTTTAACTTCCTAGCTGTGCTGCTATGAACTGCATCGTATGTTATGTAAATTTCATTAATTCGTACGCCTTTTCACCTAACTTGCCATTCTCACTATACTCACCAAAGTAAGTGATACAGGAAATGGTGCGCGTACTTCCTTCTGTCTCAATGTTTTAGGTAAGAATTGTGTCCTCCTAAACAATCATGTATCTAGCTTGGACCAGTACAGCCCTTGTCTTGAGTATTGCGAATGCCAATTTTATCCTTGAATAAAAGTATAGATGATCTTAATGAATTAGTCTAGGAAAAAATGGCTATTTTCATATCTAGGTAACTTAAGGTGCTACATGAATCATTTCAGCAGGCATGTTGCGGACGCTGAATTTGGCATACATTTGCACTTCTGTGACTTAATTGGATCAGGTCATTGATGTATCTGATTGAGAATAATTGGTTTCCCTATATAAAAATGACGTATCTAGGTTAATTTTAAATCAGACTGAAAGTTTTACGCCTTAGGAACCATATATTAGGTTAAGATTTGTTCCGTCCATATCTGAGTATTACTGAAAACAAAGAATATTTGCCAAACGTCACTTTGCTGCATTAAACCAATAAAGAGCAGAAGAATTTAAGTGTTCTGTACCATTTACAAATGTGAAGCTATAGTATTCTGCATCGTAACTGGGCACCTAACCACGTCTTTACCCAACGAGGGATATCGATGTCTCCCTAAAGACATCGAAGTGCTTCTACATATAATATGTATCTCCGTATCACCATATGTTTGCAGCCTTTCAACAACAATGTCATTTATAAATCATGGTTTCGGAAATGGCGTACATATACTCTTGGTGACAGTGAATTTTATTGTTCTCAACTTAATTTAAATGTTGTCTCTATTCCCGTTGTATTGCTGGATTTCACTATTTGTCTGTCGTACAGATAGCTCTTCATCAACACACAGCACTGATAATTTAATTCTTGGCGATTATCCAATTTGGAACTATTGGGATCTTTCAGAGTAATTGGGAACAACCATGAGATGTCAAATTAAAAAATTGATGTAAAATTTCCAAACGGTTTATGATTGACGTCTGTAGCCTGAAGCAGGGACATCATAAAAAACATCTCCTTCTCATTCAAATTTTTTTTTCAGTGACAAAAACAGTGACTAAGTTCAGTAAAACAATGTCCACTTGAAATTGATCAAATTCCTTGCCTGCATATTGTGACGTTCAATCAAATAAGTCTCATTCCCAATAAAAACAAGATATTTGTATCTAAATTGGCCAATTTTAGCAAGAGGACATTATAAGTACATACCAAATGTTAAAAGACTATAGGTGTTCCGGAGGGATATTCATCTTCTGATCTGTTTCATTAACGATATCCACCATCTATAAATCTAGGCTAAATCCAAGTAATGCCACGTCCCCAAAGTGCTAACCGGCAAAGTGACAACAAAGACTCAAGGCATGATAAATAATATCAACGTTCATATGGCAACAAGGGAAAAATATAGTCCCTCCTGAGATCACCAAACACTTGGTAAGGCAGCATTAAAACTTAGATTAGTCTTTCCATCTTATTTCGATTCTCGATTTTTGAGATCATGAACGAAATATTTTCACGTTTATACAAATTGTACTTTATGTGTATACGTAGTTATCCTGGAAAACCCCCCATAATAATTAAATAAGACAAGAGGCCCATGGGCCTAAACGGTCACCTGAGTCCTACAATATTTATTTTTGTTATTGAAATATGTACCAATTTGAGTACAAAATAGTTAAGTATAACGTTAACAAGTTTGTCAGGACCATGAGTCGAACATTCCTACAAAATTTCAGTTCAATCGGCCCAGTAGAACTTTAATTTAAGTTTGAAATAGTTTTTCAAAATGGCGGCCATATTGGATTTCTGATCGACCCGAAAAATAACAACACTTGGTCAGGGAGATGTCAGTAACCTTCCCATGAAATATTAATGAAATCCCTTTGCCAGTATTTCAGCTTAAGTTGAAAATGTAAACTGTTAACGGACGATGGACGACGGACGAAGACGGATAGCAATAGGTCACTTGAGCTAAAGCTCAGGTGACCTAAAAATAGTTCTCCATTATCAAAAGTCTACACATACCAACAAGAAGCCCATCAGTCTTCAAGCTCATAGGAGTACAAATCGAAATTGCCAGCCAATTGGAGGCCACAGTGGCCATCTTAAGATTTTCCAATTCACACTAAAAGTTACAAAACTTGACTGGGACCTAATCGAGAATATTATCCAAGTTTAGAGTCAACCAGTGCAGTCGCTCTTTAGAAGTCGAGTGTTTCAGCATATCAGATGTTTATACGGTTAAAGGGTGGGGATCTCAACTGTTTCTAAGTTATTACCCATGATTCAAGTTCCTAGGGGTGAGGTGGATCCCAACTGTTTCAAAGTCGCAATCCAGAAACCAAGTCTCTAGGGGTGTGGGCAGACCCCAGGGTCAATTCTCATATCATTGTTGTGTTTGTTTCTTTTCAACCAGCAAATGTATATATGGTTATGGGGTGGGGATCTCAACTGTTTCCATGGTATCCCTATATAAGCAGTGATTTCTTTAGGTGAATTCCAAATATCACTCTATTTTCCCACAATCTTGCTTATTTTGTGATATTTTCCCACAATCTTGCATATTGTGTGATATTTTTTCGACAATCATGCTTATTGTGTGATATTTTTCCTAAGTCACATGCCTCTGTGGTGAGATCAACAAGAGGCCCATGGGACTTAACGGTCACCTGAGTTAAGTAAAAACTGATGTTATCGATGAAAAAGAAAATCATTTTGTAACAAAGGTAACTTGAACTACATGTAATGCAAAATCAAGTTTGAATGATTTCCAGTAGAAAATGAACAAAATATACCCAAAAGTTGCATTTTCCTTTATAAACTATAGTAAAATTCGCCCCCTCCCCAGGGGCAAACATGGAGTCTGGGGGTCATGAAATTCACAATTTTGATAAAGTACCTCAAGACCTTTCCATCTATGAAGAGTATTGGTTTCCAGGCTATCTCAGTCTGGAGAAGATAACTGTTGAAATTTTTGGCTATACAACCCCATTTGGGCTCCGCCCCTCAGCCCCTGGGAATGAGACAGGGTTAAACATGTCAAAGTATCAAACTGTCATCTCATGGTTATAATGTAAATCAAGTTTGAATGATTTCCAGTAGAAAACGAACAAAATATAACCAAAGTTGCATTTTCCTATATAAGCAATAGTAAATTTCACCCCCTCCCCAGAGGCAAATGTGAAACTCGAGGGTCATGAAATTCACAATTTTGATCAAGTACCTCAAGACCCTTCCACCTATGAAGAGTATTGGTTTCCAGTATATCTGGGTCTAGAGAAGAAGATTTAAAAATTTAAGCCTTTTTGACCACTTTTAGCCCTGCCCCTCAGCCCTTGTGGGGCAGGCCTGGGCACAAACTGTCGAAGTATCAAACTGTCGTTCCATAGTTATAATGTCTGTTAGTTTGAATAATTTCCAATTGAAAATGAACAAAACATACCCAAATGTAAATGTAAAAGGGTCATGAAATTCACAATTTTGATAAAGTACATGTACCTCAAGACCCTTACACCTATGTAGAGTATTTGTTTCCAGCATATCTGTGTCTTGAGAAGATTTTTAAAATTTATGCCAATTTGACCCCTTTTTAATTTTAGCCCCACCCCTCAGAGCCCCTGATGGTAGGAACCACATAATTCTTAATTTTGGTGCATATTTGATCAAGGAAGAGTCCTGCAAAATTTCATTGAAATCGGATCAGCGGTTTCTGAGAAGAAGTCGAAAATGTAAATTGTTTACGGACAAACAACAGACAAAAGGCGATTAGAATAGGTCACTTGAGACTTTGTCTCAGGTGACCTAAAAATCACTGCTAGGGGTGTGTCCAGACTCCAAGGTCAATTTGACAAAAATGATTGTTTTTGTTTCTTGTGTGGGAATCTCGGCTGTTTAAAAGTTATGAACTAGTGACTTAGTCCCTCCACTTGTAATTAGTTTTAATTCCCCACCACCTAGAGATGTACCCAATCAAATTTGGTTAAATCCCAATCAGCAGTTATGAAAAGGTTGTTTGAAGAAATTGTTAACAGATGATGGACACCGCCGTATGGCATAATTATATAGGCTCACCTGGTCCACATTAGTCCTTTATAATAAAGTTTGAGGCCAACATTTTACTCAGAACTGTCCCTTTCAGGAATATCAGTTTTAAGCAGACCAAATATGTCCACTACAACCTGTACCAACAATAAACACACTAATATTCAGCCAAACATATAATGTTTAATTCCATAAACTATTTAACATTTCGTAAAACATGAAATAAAACAAATTACTAAAAGTTCTACTTGTATTTTCAAATAGAATTGTATCTTTAGATTGGAAGACATTGCATGTATAAAATTGTACTTACAAACATATTTTAACAATTTGTCAACTCATATCATAAAGTTATAACACACCCAAGAAACTTAAGGTAAATGTTTCAGAATGGTAAAAAATGTTACGTCAGAACAACAATGACAATAAAGAGATAGACACTTAGTACCATCAGTAACCGACACATTGTAAATGTGTTCAAAATAGTATCAAAATAAACAAGTTCTGAACAGGATTATTTCAGCAATCTTGAAAAATGTTACAGGTATGATATCGATTATCATTTGTTTTTAGACTGGATGGAGATTGGAATTTATTGTTACATGGAAGTAGAATAGAGCCTTTTAATATGTTAAATGTTACATGCGAGTCCCATAGAGCCTATATTATTAATTAATACATTCAATTATCAAAGAGTCTGTTTGATAAAACATGTTACATGCAAGTTCCAATGGGGATGTCAGATATTACATATGAAAGCCATAGAGCCAGAAAGTCCCTTCGCCTTTTGGATGTTGAGATGTTACATGTAAATCCCATAGAGCCCTTTACATGTTAGATACAAGTCCCACAGAACCCTTTACATGTAAGATACAAGTCCCATAGAGCCTTTTACATGTTAGATACAAGTCCTATAGAGCCCTTTACATGTAAGATACAAGTCCAACAGAACCCTTTACATGTTAGATACAAGTCCCACAGAACCCTTTACATGTTACATACAAGTCTCATAGAGCCCTTTACATGTTAGATACAAGTCTCATAGAGCCCTTTACATGTAAGATACAAGTCCTATAGAGCGCTTTACATGTTAGATACAAGTCCCATAGAGCCTTTTACATGTTGGATACAAGTCCTATAGAGCCCTTTACATGTTATATACAAATCCTATAGTGCCCTTTACATGTTAGATACAAGTCCCACAGAACCCTTTACATGTGAGATACAAGTCCTATAGAGCCCTTTACATGTAAGATGCAAGTCCCACAGAACCCTTTACATGTTAGATCCAAGTCTCATAGAGCCCTTTACATGTTAGATGCAAGTCCCACAGAACCCTTTACATGTTAGATCCAAGTCTCATAGAGCCCTTTACATGTTAGATGCAAGTCCCACAGAACCCTTTACATGTTAGATCCAAGTCTCATAGAGCCCTTTACATGTTAGATGCAAGTCCCACAGAACCCTTTACATGTTAGATACAAGTCTCATAGAGCCCATTACATGTTAGATACAAGTCCCACAGAACCCTTTACATATTAGATACAAGTCCCACAGAACCCTTTACATATTAGATACAAGTCCCACAGAACCCTTTACATGTGAGATACAAGTCCTATAGAGCCCTTTACATGTAAGATGCAAGTCCCACAGAACCCTTTACATGTAAGATACAAGTCCTATAGAGCGCTTTACATGTTAGATACAAGTCCTATAGAGCCCTTTACATGTAAGATACGAGTCCCATAGAGCCCTTTACATGTTAGATACAAGTCCCACAGAAGGGGTTACATGTAAGATACAAGTCCTATAGAGCCCTTTACATGTAAGATACAAGTCCTATAGAGCGCTTTACATGTTAGATACAAGTCCTATAGAGCCCTTTACATGTTAGATACAAGTCCTATCGAGCCCTTTACATGTTAGATACAAGTCCTATCGAGCCCTTTACATGTTAGATACAAGTCCTATCGAGCCCTTTACATGTTAGATACAAGTCCTATCGAGCCCTTTACATGTTAGATACAAGTCCTATAGAGCCCTTTACATGTAAGATGCAAGTCCCACAGAACCCTTTACATGTAAGATACAAGTCCTATAGAGCGCTTTACATGTTAGATACAAGTCCCATAGAGCCTTTTACATGTTGGATACAGGTCCTATAGAGCCCTTTACATGTTATATACAAGTCTTATAGAACCCTTTACATGTTAGATACAAGTCCCATAGAGCCTTTTACATGTTGGATACAGGTCCTATAGAGCCCTTTACATGTTATATACAAGTCCCATAGAACCCTTTACATGTTAGATACAAGTCCCACAGAAGGGGTTACATGTAAGATACAAGTCCTATAGAGCCCTTTACATGTTAGATACAAGTCCCACAGAACCCTTTACATGTAAGATACAAGTCCCACAGAACCCTTTACATGTTAGATAAAAGTCTCATAGAGCCCTTTACATGTTAGATACAAGTCCCAAAGAACCCTTTACATGTTAGATACAAGTATCATAGAGCCCTTTACATGTTAGATACAAGTCCCACAGAACCCTTTACATCTAAGATACAAGTCTCATAGAGCCCTTTACATGTTATATACAAGTCCCACAGAACCCTTTACATGGTAGATACAAGTCTCATAGAGCCCTTTACATGTTATATACAAGTCCCACAGAACCCTTTACATGTTAGATCCAAGTCTCATAGAGCCCTTTACATGTTAGATGCAAGTCCCACAGAACCCTTTACATGTAAGATACAAGTCCCATAGAGCCTTTTACATGTTGGATACAAGTCCTATAGAGCCCTTTACATGTTAGATACAAGTCTCATAGAGCCCATTACATGTTAGATACAAGTCCCACAGAACCCTTTACATGTGAGATACAAGTCCTATAGAGCCCTTTACATGTTAGATATAAGTCCCATAGAGCCCTTTACATGTTAGATACAAGTCCCACAGAAGGGGTTACATGTAAGATACAAGTCCTATAGAGCCCTTTACATGTTAGATATAAGTCCCATAGAGCCCTTTACATGTTAGATACAAGTCCCAAAGAACCCTTTACATGTTAGATACAAGTCTCATAGAGCCCTTTACATGTTAGATGCAAGTCCCACAGAACCCTTTACATGTAAGATACAAGTCCTATAGAGCGCTTTACATGTTAGATACAAGTCCCATAGAGCCTTTTACATGTTAGATACAAGTCCTATAGAGCTTTTTACATGTTGGATACAAGTCCTATAGAGCCCTTTACATGTTATATACAAGTCTTATAGAACCCTTTACATGTTAGATACAAGTCCCACAGAACCCTTTACATGTTAGATACAAGTATCATAGAGCCCTTTACATGTAAGATACAAGTCCTATAGAGCGCTTTACATGTTAGATACAAGTCCTATAGAGCCCTTTACATGTTAGATATAAGTCCCATAGAGCCCTTTACATGTTAGATATAAGTCCCATAGAGCCCTTTACATGTTAGATACAAGGCCTATAGAGCCCTTTACATGTAAGATACAAGTCCTATAGAGCGCTTTACATGTTAGATACAAGTCCCATAGAGCCTTTTACATGTTGGATACAGGTCCTATAGAGCCCTTTACATGTTATATACAAGTCCCACAGAACCCTTTACATGGTAGATACAAGTCTCATAGAGCCCTTTACATGTTAGATACAAGTCCTATCGAGCCCTTTACATGTTAGATACAAGTCCTATCGAGCCCTTTACATGTTAGATACAAGTCCTATAGAGTCCTTTACATGTAAGATACAAGTCCCATAGAGCCCTTTTCATGTTAGATACAAGTCCTATAGAGCCTTTTACATGTTGGATACAAGTCCTATAGAGCCCTTTACATGTTAGATACAAGTCCCATAGAGCCTGTTGGATGTTACATTTGAGACTCATAAGGTTTATTTGATGTTAGACATTACATGAAAGTCCCACTGGGCCTTTTGATGTTAAGATGCGGGATTCACAGAACCCATTAAATGTTTTGTGTGTGATTGACCCGAGATATTACCTGTACAAGAGTCCCATAGGGTCTGATAAATGAAAGTAATCCAGTACTGTAAATTTACTTATTTTAGCACACTCATATTTTACAGCATTATCAAATTATTTGGTGAACCTGCAATAAATGCAAGAGAAAACAATATCAGAAAACTTCAAGTGGTACAATCACATTTTACTACATTATTTTAAGCGTGAAGTAAGTTGAAATACAATTATTGCTAAAATATGTACATATACAGTATTACTGTAGCTACAACTACAGTTCTTTCTTAAATATTGTACACAGGATCTCTTTGGTCCTAGCTAGGACAAGGAGATCCTGTGTACAATTTTTGAGGCAGATCTGTCCAGTATATATACTGTGTGACAAGTAGCAAAAACAAGCTTTGACCATGATACCTGGTTTTTTAATGAAGTCCAAGAATTTTAGGCCACATAAACATTAACCCTGACATAAGACATAAGACAGTACCCCTTGGGTGACTACACCAGCCTCCTTAATTTTAGAAATTTTAAAATACTACAGCAGCCAACAAATTAATAATATGTTCAATGGCTACTTCATCACAGTAATTCTAATAACCTTACAAGACAATTAAAACATCTTATTAAGTTTTTCTTACCTTCTTGGGTAAATAAGATTTTTCAACAGATATAACAACATATAAAACATGCTTCATTGTGTACAAATCTCAACCCAACATCTTCATAAACATCAATATCCTTCAAAGCTAGATCATCAAAATACTAACTAACTTCTAAATAGGTATAGATTTAAGTAACCGACATATTAGAAATATACACAACGTACCATCAACGATGTTGCTAACAGCTCATCTATTTTTATAACCGAAAGAAAATTTTGAACACACCTGTCTAATCTCATAACAAACTACCATTACAACGTATAAGCTTTGTCACTTCAATTTTAACTTACCTGAGCTATAGAAGTGACTACCCCTGATATGTTATCTACTGCTAAATTGATAACAAACTTATACAAAATGTTATTTCAAGTACCAATTAGTGTAGCAAAAGAAGTAAATAAACAATAACAATGTCATTCCAGAAAGTCACTTTTTACGTTTTAAGCTTCTTTGTTTTGTCATCTTTTTTTCCATTTTCTGATACTTTCTTTCTCTTTTGTGTAGTTGAATCATCCTCGGCATCAGGGAGTAATTCTGGACACAGTGTCTTAGCCATTTGGTAAGTCCACAATGTCAGCTCAACCTTGTGAGGGGTCCATTTGATTCGGTCTCCTAAAACATGCAAACAAATTATGTTTGGCGTATATAAGACTCTCTAAACATCAGGATGGATTATTTGTTTTTGAAAAACTTGACATGGGGTTATGTTGACAGTTCCACACTTGCATAAACTTTACATGACACAGTGTAAATCTAGGAATAGTTTCTAAAACAAAAAACACTATTTTGGTGCAAATCTCAATGCTAATCAGATTTTTTTTGTAATGAAATAGGACAGACAATAAATTTGTAACAAAATGATTCAAGTACCTTCTTGATCTTTGTTGAGTTTTTTGGTAATTGTTGTCACATAGTCCATGTACTGATTGTAAAATGGCAACGTATACTGTAAGGGAGCTAACTCTGGAATAGCCAGCATGCTCTCATCAGCCATGAATGCTGCCTTGTCTGGGGCACCTGCTGCCAAAACAGCTGTAAAGGATAAGTTTATAGTTAATTCCATGTCATTTTAACACAAAATGTCACAGGAAATGAAACAGTCAAAGATCTGCATTGAAAATCAAGAGGTCCGACGACCAAGCCTATATTGTTAACCTTCTTGGATTTCATCTCTGAAATACACAATTCAAAAATGTTTTTGTCTAATCAGATAAAATATCAATCATCTTGCAATTTATTAAGAATGACCCAATGTGGTGACACAAACTTTCTATTGAGGTTAATGCTGACCCTGCAGTGACCCTAGCCATGACCAAGGAAACCCTAAAACAAAAACTAAACTGACCCCATGTATACTCATGACCTTTGTATACGTCTGATAAAAAAAACGCCGAAAAATGAAGCCACTAGAGCGATGACACTGAATTGGTTGACAATTTTCTACATTAGTACCAGTGACCTTACCCTTGGAACCATATTAATCACATCCGATCCTTTCACCTTTCTTTACTGTATATACAAAACTTATGAAAATCTTTTAAATTGAATCGCTAGAGACGACATTGAATCAGTTCAGAATTTGTTATGCACAAGTAACGGTGACCTTGGCCTAGGTACTCTGAATCACCAACTGATCTGAGGTATTTTCATACTTGACCTTTATATAAACTATAAAATATACAAGTGTTTCAAGAAATTATGTCACCAGAGTAATTTAACACATAATTAGATTTTCTATTAATTATTGAGTGTTCTTTGCCTTGGTAATGGAACTCCGAAATACAAACTCATCCGAGGTCCTTGATCTCTGTATCAAGTTTGATCATAATTTGTTAAGAAATGAAGTAGTTGGATATGGCAAGATAGATATGGGCACAGGTACTAGCCTCCCCTGTCAATACACCTATAATATAATCACAGGTACTAGCCTCTTCTGTCAATACACCTATAATATAATCAAAGGTACTAGCCTCTTCTGTCAATACACCTATAACATAATCACAGGTACTAGCCTCTTCTGTCAATACACCTATAATATAATCAAAGGTACTAGCCTCTTCTGTCAATACACCTATAACATAATCACAGGTACTAGCCTCTTCTGTCAATACACCTATAATATAATCAAAGGTACTAGCCTCTTCTGTCAATACACCTATAACATAATCACAGGTACTGGCCTCTTCTGTCAATACACCTATAATATAATCTACTATAGGTGTATTGACAGAGGAGGCTGGAACCTGTGATATGGGTACTCTACAAGCCCCCTCCCTCCATAAAATGGCAAGAATAAAAAAAAAAAAACGAGTTTTTCTGAAGTTACGACCAGTGTAAGAACATGGGACGGATAGTTGAATCAATTATATTGATCTTTCTGGTTTTACTGGTACAGTGCAAATAAATGTATACTTGAATAATTACAGTTGATGTACAGTGAAGTTGATGTACAGTGCACCTACCAGAAGCAGTCGCTGGACCTATTGCCTTCAGGACTGTAAGTGCTTTGATGGCGTTGGACAGGTTTGGAAGCTCTTTAAAGCCTTTCAGACTTGCAGCCTTCACATCTTCCTCACTGTTACTCTGAACCATCTGTTCCAAACGAGGTCGAAATTTTCCTCTCTAAAGTTGAAAAGCCACAAATATTCATAGTCATAATATCATCAAACTTTGTGACATTGTCAACTTCAAGTCGTATAAGTATTGAAATACTTATTTTCATTGTCCAGACTGAATTTGTATTCCACTCCGCTAAATACTCTACAGTACTATTTATGCTCTACATCGAACGTGCATTGCTGATGCTAACATTTTTTTTTGAGCCATGGGCCTTTCAAATTTTGGAAAAACAGCAACATAAAATCATTTTTGGAGAAAATACCGTAATCAAATTTTGCATTATAAGTTCAAGTTCCGGTACAGGATTTGAACAATCCTCTTCATCGGACTCAAAATCATACAATACATAGTACATAGTAATACTAATGATATAAACAAAATGTACAATGTAATATAAATATAGACAGTTAACTTCCGTTAAATTTAGATTAAAGTTCCAATTAAAAGTTTGACTCTGTAATTATAAACCAGGTATAGATTTTCTCAAAACTAGTTTAGTCTATTTTTGAAACAGTTTGTGTTTTGGGCGGATATCACAGATCCTGGTCGAGTGTTCTGAATGCCAGTTGCTCTCACAGTGAAAGAGTTCCTTTTTGATGTTAAGATTACCTGTTGTTAAAAAAAGATTTTTTAGAATTTAAGCCCAAAAGCTTTTGTGCAGCCATTCAGAAGCCATGGCGGCCAACTTGAATTATAAAACTCAGGTTGTATATATGTCCTTTTTTACCTGGTAAATGATCAACAAAATACAAATTACCACCAAGTACAAATAAAATCTTCCCCACCTTAAAGGGCCATACTCTTTTCAATGTTGCCAAAAAAAGTAGTGTCAGTTTAAAGTGGAAAGATCTTGAGCCAGGGAATTTTCTGCTAGATTAATTGGAATTATATATATATATGTATACACACCATCAGTTTCCATTTCATTAGTTTACAAAGCTCCTCGTGAGTCACATGCCTTTCTTTTCTTCCTTTGATAGCAACTGGGAGTTCCTCTTGATACCTTTGGAAAACAAAACCGATTAAGCCAATACGTGTATATAATATAAATATGTGGTCCTTTTGGTAGAATATCTACAATCACAGGAGTCGGACATTTAATTATCAATATAACTATAAACAATATTTTATATTAAAAAAATACCCCTTATCAGAGACATCTCTGTCCTTGACTCCTTATAGGCTTACTACAGGCGTTATTTTAGAATATATATGAGGATTTTTTTTCATATCTAGATTGTTATAGTTATATTGATTAACTGAAGAGTAACAACAAAATACTAAATTCGACTTTTCCCAGACAAAAATTCGGTTTAAATAGCATCTTATTCAGTAAGCAAACTTATATGCAATGCATATAAGGCAAACTATCATTGAGGCTTTTAAAAAAATCCTCGTCAAAATACTATTGCAAAGGGGTGTTTGGTATAATAATACAATGTACACATCTAGTAGATCTACATCTCTATTGTTATTACCAGTAATCCAAGTCCTTTAATTGTTTTTCTTTGTCGCCTTTCATTTTTTTTGACTTGACAATTAAAACTTTGTCATATAAACCGTAAACTCTTTCCCATGTTTGGGATGTTGGTGTGTCAATAAAGTTTTCCATGTTGGCGCCAATTCTTCTTTCGGAGTTCGAATTATTTGTTCGTAACGTCTCGTGCGTTTACCTTCAAGCTTAGTAGAAAATAGTATAGAACGACGCTTATCGTCAGGATACTTAACAACGGGCGACAACCCGTTTCCGCTTTCCGCCATCTTTTTTTCAGTCACGTTGCCGGCAGAATGGCAATTTTTCATCCGCCTCAAATTCAAGATAACCCAACAGGATGGGGACCATGTGCAATTCCAGATCAATTCAAGGACATGCCATATCAGCCTTTTGCCAAGGGAGATCGGTTAGGAAAGGTGTGGTCTAAGTAAACGGTCATAACAATTTCGACACCATATGTCATGTCAGGATATTTCAAGCATGTTCTCATAACTTCTGTCGTATCAAGGAATGTGTGAAATATGTTATAAAAAACGTCCTGTGTATTGTATTGTTTTTGGTTATTGCCAACTTCCTTAGGGTGAGGAAAACTTGGCGGCTCATTGAAGTGTGTGTACTGTGATGAGAAGTAACCAAGCCCCCCACCCCGCCTTTTGGCCGGGGAAAAAAAGGGGGGGGGGGGGGGGGGTCCTGTCGTATCGCACTACGGGTGACCCGGGTGGTTTCGCACTATATACAGTTCGCCCTATAATTATGTATTTTAAAGTGATGAATATCAGTTGAAATGTTTTTATTTCTCAAAAAAGCTTACTATTTTCATGTTTCACGGAATTAGATCGAAGTCCACCAGCCAATGTCAGGTCAAAGGAATTTCATTCTACATTGTATGTTCAGATCTGGTCTACCACGTACAAATCTAACGAGTCTAATGTCTTGTAAACAAAACAAATCTATATAGGACACCTAGAAAAGTTTCAAATTAGACTAGATAAGCCATACACAGCTAAAGATGACATACCTGTTTTCTGATTTATTGTGACACCCAGGCCATACAAAGAAGGCTTCCTTTTCTTGTCCAGCCTAGGCAAACTATTTATCAGGGGGGACACAACTTCTCATTCATGGGTATATACTGCATTTGGGTAACTGTTAAACCACAGGTACTAGCCTCGTCTGTCAACAATACACCCATTATAGTGTAATCAGGATTATATACAATTGGTGTATTGACAGACGAGGTTAGTATCTGTAGTTAAACAGTAAACTGTTTACAGTAACAATTTTATCACTGAAATAAGGTATCATTCTTTCAACACCAAGGATTGAATTTAATTTTTAAATCCACAAGCAAACTGTTGCTTGTGGTTTCAAAAGTTAGAAGCAAATTGACAAATCAAGAAGCAAAATATTTGGACGTCAACAGTGTTGCTATCCTTGTCGGCAATGTAGCCTATGTCATGTAGGTCACTCTGCCATTTCTGTACTGTTTTATTTGTACGAGAGGCTGAGCTTCAGTCTTCGCCGGTGGTTATTTTAGTGTTTGCACTTTTTAGTGCCTTCAGTGCCGTCAGGTTCCAATTTTCTTTTAAAAAACCCGTAATCATCGTTTGAGCTTTGACATTTGACGCTGTCACATTTGTCCCTGCACATATATATGTTCCGAACGACACTCTCGTTATGGCCGAGACTAAACGAGACTTAGTACTTGTGCTATATTTAGACACGCACACATGTGTACAACTTACAGATTATGTTTTGATCGGCACATCGACGGGTCCTGACCATAGACCGGCACTTGTTACAAAAAGATCAATGATCCGGAAATATTGACACAATTTATACACACATGCTGCAGTAAAATACCAGACGCAAGTATTTTCGTTTTGGAACCCATATCAAAACGCAAATCTCAAAATCCTGACGCAAATTGCGTGTAAATAAGAGTAAATTTCGAACCCTGAACACAATCCAATAAATGATTAAAAGTGGAACAGATATGCTAAAAGAAATGACAAACTGTATCACGCTTATTGCTTATAGAGTGGTGTGGAGTAGATGTAAAAAGTACTCCATAAATTGCATGCTCACTTGTCACATAGCCAAGGACTAATTATTTTGTCAATTGAGAACAAAGTCGGTGAAATGGTTTGTCATTTTAATGAAAATTGACATTGGAATGGATACATTTTTGTGCACCGCTGTACCTCATCATATTAATGATAGGATTATATTGAAAGAATAATAACCATTTTTTGGCAAACATTCTTAGCTAGAGGCTATCATCCTGAACTACCAGCCTATCAATAGGAAAATTCCACCTCACTTCCAAATTAGCAATTCCAATCGCATTGGGCCTCAACTGGGTTGTTTTTGTTTGTATGAAGCTCCTTGCATACACCTTACAACTAAATGGTCATTTCTAAAATATCAGACTGAACCAATAATTGCACAATTTTTCAAACTTATTACTTCTGGTGCAAGGGTATTAGTATCTTCTGTGATGCCTTGTTTTAATGATCATCATTTGTAATGTTAATGTGTTTATCTGTAGAGATAGTGTGACAAACAGGTCACTAATGGGAATTTTGAAGATTCCTTCTTTAGTGAAATGACAAAAAGTCTACAAACTATTTGGATACAAATTTTGAAGTCAGTTGAGGTCTGCACTGTTTGTGCTGTTAAGGATTAATACTATGTTGAATTGTTTTGTTTTAGGTCTCTGATTGGACCGGGGCAACATATCAAGACAAGAGATATCTTGGTTTGTACATTCTTTTTTCCTTTTTTTATTGTGGGCATGAATGATTCATACCTATAAAACTGGCAAACTTGTTATAATACCAGTCCATGCAAAATATACCAGTCTGACGGACATGTCCGGTAAATTTTACTGTCGGTCCGGCAATCACTATCGTAATTCCTGACCAAATGTCTGGCATATGGTTTCTACCTTAGAGTCGTCTTGAGTCATGTCACCTGAGCGTTTTAAATACTCAGTGAAGTATACTCAGCGTAATAGTTATTGTACACATCAAACAATTTTTGTTAGTTTATTTTTCATTTTCTATGGACTGGTAAGTATTTCAAGCTAATCTGACCAAAATGTCCTGTAAAAAGTTGTTCCGGTCCGGCAAGCTTGGGATAGTTACCTGACCGAATGTCCAGTAAGAAAATTTGCATTTCTCATGGGCTTTGATACCCAACATTTCTGAGTTGTAACTGATAAATTGGCTAAGGTGTATGCGACTACTATTCTTAAAAGCAGCCTGACTTTTCTTTAAAATCCATTCATGCTGTATGTGTAGAGACAAAACTCCAGTTAATACTAGGCCAGTATTGTTCCATATCTTATAAGTTTGAATAGATTGATATCAGTGTTTCGATACAAGTTTGTCAAAAAATCCTTAAAAGATTAAGTTTCAAAAGTTTTTATTTTTTAGAAGAAGTGAATATTTCAGTTTTCTAGTGATATTTGATGCCAATGTTTTTCCTTTTGTTGTCATTTTAAAAATGTATTGTACATGTAGATACTACATGAACTTTTCAGTCACACATTCTTATATATACATAGGTGTGATTTAAAAGGGGGAAAAACAGTCAAATGAATTTTTAATATTTGCTATAGGTAAGTACTCGTCTGCATTCGGAGGGGGAGGCAGTCAGTATGCCTACTATCATGAAGAAGATGAGAACAGCTTCCAACTTGTGGATACTCAGCGTGTACAGAAGCCAGTCTACCAGCGGGGTAGGAGAGTATTTCAACAGGTTAGTTTCCTTCTTGACAACTACACGGTATGTCTTTACACCAAGGTACCTGTAATATATCTATAGATAAAACTTTTTTTTTTAATTTACCCTGCAATTGATACTTCAACATAGAAACTTTATGGTTATGACTTAATTTATTACGGCTCTATTTCAGATGAATGTGTATGCCCTTTATTAATCATCTTGTCGTCTGTCTGTCTGTCTGTCCATTTCTTGATGCCAATTCACAATGAGCAAAGACTACAACTGAGATTGGAATATGAGCAAATTACATGCAAAATTCATGATCAACATTATCCATACTTTCTGATAGGTCAAAGATTTGCGTCATCATGTAAGGCCAGTTAGATAATTTTATACATTAATGTGTTGAAAGAGGGAATACACAGCTCATTTCACATCAGTTTCAGAATAGCTTGGTTTAGTGTGCTATTTACAGCTAAGGATTTAAAGGATGTGAATAGCATTTCAATCAAATATTATTGTACTATAATTTCTTGTTAAAGAACAAGCAGAGGAGAGAGCGTGAGCGACGAGCCCAGCAGCAGGCCCAGGCCAATCTCCAGGTGCTCTCCAAGACACAGAAAAGCAGAGAGAGGTAGGTCTGCAAACTTAACCTGAACCCAGGCCCAAAGAACTTTAAATTTTGTCTACTCAACTTAAACCCAATGCAATATCCTGGATTGATACAAAGTCTTACACACCAGAGAGAACAGAATATCAAACTGCTAGGAAAGTTTCCGTTTTTTATTTAAGTTAAATATATTTCTTTCACTTTCAATTGTTGTTAATGAAAAGTTTTGAGAAATTCTTTATGTCAAATTAAATTCTTAAACATAGACGTCTTGTTTATCAGACTATTCTAACTAACACAATTTTATATTTGCTGCAATTAGGGATAGACAGAGGCTGTTGAGGAAGTGGCAGAAACAGTTCGGCAAACAGATGCAGGAAAACCGCAACAAGGTAAGCATGTTATTAACTTTTAGATAAGTATTTTTGTAAACCAGTATGAGAAAGTGGGTTTTGTTGGTTAATGACTCTTTCATATGATACATACCACAATATATGAACCTGTTACATGTGATCTTTGTAGTGAACAAATGTATTTTGTGTCTCAGGTTCCCTTGAAGCACCGTGACGCATCCGTACAGGTGAAGGAAGACTGGGAGGTAATAGAGGACATGGACTTTCCCCGCCTCACAAAACTTAGTTTACCTGGCATTGAGGTTGGTGAGGATCTGTAAGTATTACATGAATTAGAGTCAGAAAATATAACCTAAAACACAAACAGCTATATAAACAAAATTGTAAAATTTCATCATTGACTATTGAAAAGGTTCAAATATCAAAAAATATGGTTTTGACAGAATCA